CCTAAAGGTTCTCGAAGGTAGCTTTTCTTTTTTTTGATCAGACAGCGCTACGTAAGTTGTCTTTAGGTTTATTTATAGTGCTCTCCGAACCGTACAAGATAGTCACCCATCATACGGCTCACCAGTCTAGCTTATTAATCTTTCGTTTTTTTCTATGATCGAAGATCTTTATTTTTAGATCTTTGTGCCTAGGCACAAAGATCTAACACTTGATAGTGTAATTCCATTTTCTTTATGAGCTGTTAAGACAAAAAAATTTTCTATGGGTAGACTTGGGGGCAGTAAATTTTTTAGCTTTTCCCAATTGAGCTTAAGTACGTTATTGTACATAGCTTTATAGAATAGAGATAAGTTACTGAATTGTATTCAGACCTCCTAGTCTACTAGAGAGGTTTGTTCTCGAGTCCGTTGTTGCTGCTATGTACCCCAGAGTTTCGAACTTTCTATAAAAAACAGACAAAGCTGCAATTTAGCACTATCGAAGTAGGTCCCCAGAAAGAAAAAACCTATAAGTATCCTGTTCAAAGTATTTTCAAGTTCTTCATACTTTAACTCTGACGAGCGCCGAAGGCGCCCACCTTATTGTTTCAAAGGTTTCTCACTATAAGCTAAAACGATTAGATTTCTTCCCTTATTTTTTTGCTTACCTTTTACAAGGCGCCGTTAGGCGGGGCCAGTACTATAAATCCTCTGACTTCATTATTATAACCCATCTCTCTCGTGGTGGTGGTAGACGGGGGCTTCGTTTGCGTCTCCTAGGCAAGTTCTTCGAACCTCCTTTCGCTTGCTTTGCAAGCGGTACCGCGCATAATCTAATAATGCGCCGCCTGATAGGAAGGATACCTTGCGAAGCAAGTAAGAATGATCTCACCGTTAGTACCTGCAGTACGACTTAGTTTACTTGGAGATGTCATTAAGTACCCTGTTCCAATAAAGGTTATCTGTCATGCACTGCGCGCCTGATCGTTATTTATCACCGTCAAGTACGTGACTTTCTTGCATAAGATGTTCTTTCTAAAAAAAAGAAGTTTGCAGTAACTTTAAAGCAATCGCAATTCCATGGATATTCTTTTAATCAAGATAAGTTCTTTAAGTGTGTGTAAAGGTCCACCAGGTCTCCTATACGCAAGCTTTGCAAACCTGAAAAACGCTTGCTTTGCAAGCTAGCACACTCCGCGCGTTAGAATTTTGCTTGCTTTATTATGTGCGCCTAATAAAATAATGCCCCGAAGAAAACAAGCGCAGCGAAGCAACCCCCGAAACACATACAACTTGCACATAATCCGAAACACATGCAACTTGCTACGCGAGTTTTTCGAACGTTCAGCAGTTTGCCTAAGTTTGAACTATAGTAAGATTTCTCGTATATTGATTGATTTGAAGGTTTTGCTTCGCAAAAAAATATCTTGCAAGATTCTTTTTTTTGTTTTTAACTATTTGTAGCTTTCTAAGCAATAGGCACGCAGTGGGCCGAAAGATACTCTGATTTGTGATAAGCTCATCTCTAAGCAAATTCGTTTCTAAATTTTAGAGTTACCAGTCATGTTATGGACAACTGGTTCTAACAACATGCTTTTTTTTCCAACCCTCACAGGTTATGGATAAGTTGCGTGTACACTGCAGGTGCTTTAGCACGGTCGCCCTAAATTCGACTGCGATGGTACCTCGTATTCGAAAAGTTATAACTAAAATAGCTAAACCAATAGCTGATTCAGCAGCAGCCACTGTTAAAATAAACAAAGCAAATAATTGACCCATCATGTCATCTAAATAGACAGAAAAGACTAAAAAATTAAGATTAACTGCCAACAGCATTAATTCTATTGACATTAACATTATAAGTACATTTTTACGATTTAAGAAGATCCCCCAGATACCTAAAAGAAATAGAATCATTGAAAACGTTAAATATTTAACTAGATCCATAAGTTGCTTTTTTTCTTTAAACCTAATGCGCTGAAACGCTTCGCGCCTATTGATTTGATCATCTATTTTCTTAAAAAAATGATCAAGTGATTCTTTTTACAGTTGCTAAGCGGCAGAAATTAAAAGGTTTATTCTGCTTCAGTCACGCGCTGATTAATTATCTGTGTTATTAAGATATTATAAAATACCAACTTCTCGGCCCCAAATCCGAAGTTTATTAGTCATTTTCGAAGAGATCATGATCTGGCGGTCTTGTGGTAACAAAAAAAGTAATAAAGTTAAATACATTGTTTAAATTATTTAAGTATTTTAAGTATTTATGGTTTTTCTTCTATTTACTTATTAACCATTTTTGACTAGATTAGATGAATCTAACCAAATTAATGCTTGTAGTTCAATTGGATAGAACACCAAACTTCGGATTTGGGGGTTGAGAGTTCAAATCTTTCCAAGCATGGTTTTTAATTTAATAAAATAAAAAAAATCTCAGGTACGAAGGATAAACGAAAGTAGCAAGTTTATTAGTTATCTAGTTAACGTGCGAAACGTCCAACTCATCCATAAATGATGAAATGATTCGTTGTTTATTTTGTTATTTGAAAAGGCGCCAAGCGCAGAAAAATGAGATTACCTTAAAAATACATATTCTAGCGAATCTTCGTACAGACTTTTTTGAACTAAGTCGTTACTGTATTTTTTTTATCATATTTAAGAGAATTTTTTGAAGATATAAGAAGCTTGCGCCCTTTTTTCATAATAAATAGTAGAGTAGGATCGAAGGTCTTTACTTAGGCTTTTTCTCAAATGTCCGATTGAAAAATTTCATGGAGTTGCGAAGCACGCAAGCGAAGCTTGCTGTGCTTCGGGTTTGCTTCTTAGCGTGATAATCCAAGCAAGCTCGCACGCTTCGCTAAATAGAAATAATGTCGCAAGTCTATGTTTCGCTTGCTACGCAAACTCATTTCCCGAGGTATCCTATTAGTTTAGTTAAGGCAAGCGAAGGTCTCCTATGGAGACGCAAGCGAAGCATTGCTTGTGGGGAAACGAAAGCGTCAGGCTCTTTCAAGAGTAGCTTGCTACGCAAGCGAAATACCCGAGCTTGCGAAGCAAGCGAAGGTCGCCTTCGGTGCTCTGCGAGGTTTCCGTCAGGAAAGAAGCGAAGGTTCGCTACAACGAGCTTGCAAAGCAAGCGAAGCTTCTTACGAACGTTAGGTTCGAAGAACTTGTCTCCGTTAATAATGTCGCTTGCTCGCTTTGACGAACCTAAGTAAGGCGCGAAGCGGTCGAAAACAAGCTTGCAACGCAAGCAAAATACCCGAGCAAGCAAAGCTTGCGACGGAGACATACAAGACCGCTCATAACAATGCTTGGCATGGCATGGCGCTTGCGAAAGACGCAAAGCATTTTCGATCTTTCCCAGCCAAAACAATAGAATAATGCATGTTGCTTGCTCAATGCTCCGCATTCTTTTTTTTCAGCCGGAGGCAATCAGGCATGATTGATTACCGGATGGCCGTTAGGACACCGCGAAACATGTATTAACAGATTCTGAGCACCATAATAGAATAGATAAGAATATTTCGCTTCGCAAGCAAAACATTCTCGATTAGTCAACTATGCTTTGTATTGTTTTTTACTCAAAGTAAAGCTGAAGTTATTTAGACAAGTAAAAGAAATATGAGATTATGAGAGTTGCGGTTATATACTATGATATCATAAAAGTATACTGCATTCATTCTACCTATTAGGTTTTGAAACGAGCGCTTGCGAAGCAAACCCACAGAGACGTTCGCTAGAACGAAGGTAAGTGACTCTAATGAAGGTTCGAAGAACTCGCGGTATGTTTTGCGAGCCGGTCCGACGGCCCCCCTCTTCGAAACCTTAAAAGAAAACGGGCCGAAGCGATGGCTCCGTAAGGACTAGCTTGCTTTGCAAGCGACACATACCCGTTAGAAGCAAAGCTTGCGCTCGCACCGAAGGCGCTCAGGCCTCCTTCGCGAGCTTCGCCGCACACTTCGCGGGTTTGCTTCGCTTGCGCTCGTCCAACCGGACCATCGCGAGCTTTTTTCTTCGCAAGCTCGCACACTTCGTGGGTTTGCTTCGCTTGCGCTCGTCAAACCGGACCATCGCGAGCTTTTTTCTTTTTTCTTTTTTCTTCGCTCGCTCGTCCAACCGTGATTTGCTTCGCTTGCGCTCGCACCGGAGGCCACGCAAGCTTTCCGTCGCAAACAAAGCTTGCTCGCTCTGACGGCCCTAAAGCGGTGCTTCGCCCCCTTCGTTGCTTGTAGACGCAAAGCGAGGCTTACGGCACATTATAATGTGCCGTAAGCCCTACAGGCAAAGCGAGCAAGCAAAGCTTTTTTCAGTCGCAAGCAACATTTGATTTGTGCGAAAAAAAAAAGCGCAAGCTCGCGGGCATTATTAGGCGCACATAATAAATAATGCAAGCAACCGTACGGTTGCTTCGCTTGCTCGCCCTAGCGTGGTTTGCTTCGCTTGCGCTCGCACGCTTTGCGCCATCGCTTGCTTTTTGCAAAGCAGCCGCTCCTTCCTTTAGGGACCTTTGGGCGCGGAGCGCAAGCGAAGCGCTCGCATGCTTTGCGGGCATTTAGGCACTCAATAAAATAATGATGCTTGCTCGCACGCTTTGCGCATCGCAAGTTATTCGAATTTCCTCGTGGAAACCAACCAATTAGGTCCGTTGGCCGTGAGATCGTAAGCGAAGCAAACCCGTTAGAACTTTGCTTGCGACGGAGACGCAAGCGGTGCTTCTAGGTAAACCTACAACCAAAAAGAGAACAAGCTTGCAAAGCAAGCGAAGCAACTCTTTTTTATTATAAAAAAGAGTTGCTTTCTTTAGTTTGCGCGTGCTGTGCTACCAAGCAAGCGACATTATTTTATTAGCTTCCTTTAGGAGGCGAAGCAAGCGTAGGCGACGGAGCACAAATAACAAGAGAGGAGTGGACGCTTCGCACCTAGGCTTGCTTCGCAAGCTTGTTCTTTACGGAACCTATTTTTTCAAGGTGTAGCGCAGTCTGGTAGCGCATCTGTTTTGGGTACAGAGGGTCATAGGTTCGAATCCTGTCACCTTGATTTAAGATAATTAGATTAGAAAAAAAGCACATGATACAATGAAGATTAATCGACCATTATCACCTCATCTTAGTATATACAAACCACAACTTACATCTACTTTGTCTATTTTTCATAGAATTTCTGGAGGATTTTTAGCAGTCCTTTTCTTATTTACTATATTGTTTTTAAAGGTATGCGACCTTGGCTTAAGTTTTTATCCAATTTATTGGTGTCTTTTAACTATTACAGCATATTTTGATTGGTTTCTGTTTAGCTTGGCTAATTTGGCATTATTGGCTTTATGCTATCATACGAGTAATGGAATTCGTCATCTACTTTGGGATTTTGGATTTTTTTTAGATTTATCAAAAGTATACATTACAGGCGCTTTAGTCGTGATATTAAGTGCAATTCTTTTAATTCTTTTAAATAGTTGGAAGCTTTATTTTCTTTAAAAAAACAAGTCTAATAGCATGAACACAAAGCATTCAGCCTTGAATCATTGGCTTATTCAGCGAGCAACCGCAATATTGTTATTACCTACTATTTTTATGTCAACTTCCTACCGGATGGCTTTGATTTCTTTAACTATTTTAGTAGTTTGGCATCTTCATTTAGGTTTAGAAGAAATTTTAGCAGATTATGTTCACCATGAGGTTACACGAAATCTAATATTAATACTTCTAAGGATTTTTCTTTTAATCAGTATTAAATACGTCTTTGTTTTCGTGTTAACACATGTACTTTAAAGGACACGGCGGTTTATCCGCCGTTTTTAATTCTTCAAAAACGGAATCTCTCGCACCGCATAATAATGCATGCTTGCTGTATGTGTTTCAGAATGTTTCGCTTGCATTATTATGTGTTTTTCCTGTGACAATCTTATGCTCATAATAATTTTCTGCGCCCATAAAATAATTTTGCTTTTCTCAATTTCGTTGTTTTAGCGAACCAATAAAAAAAAAAGATGCAAGATAACTATGTTGCTCGATTTCAATTTCAACTTTTTAAGAAAACGTTCTTAACTATACTTAATAAGTTTTCTTTAGGCATAAAAACCGCTTCTGTGCTGTTTTGGGAAAGCCCTTGGCGCGCTATTCTCATGGTGTTGTGGGAAGTAGAGGTTCTTTCTTTTAAATTTTCTTTTCTTTCTTACTGCCTGCTTTATTTTTTTTCATGAAGACTTCTGTGGGTCAGATTGTTTTCTCACTTATTTTAATCCCTTCATATGGGTTGGCAGAAAAAGATTTTCCTTGGCTTTTAATTTTCTATTACTTATTTTTATTCGAAGGATATGTTGTGTACTTAGTTTGTAAATTCGTCCCAGAATTTTATGATTTTTTAAAACAAGAATTTGGCGTCGAGTTTTTAAAAGAATTTTGTGATAATTCCATTTTTAATAAAATTCGAATTCATTTGAGTTTTTCTCTTGCATATCCATTTATTCGGGCCTTTGAACAAAGTCATACCGACGAAAGAGTTAATAAAACATTTAACGAGCTTCACAAGAGTGCGCAGAGCTCTTCTGATTGGCGCAATACTATGGCGGATCTCTCGGAGCTTCGTCGTCAAGCGAGAGCAGAGGTTGGCCTGCCTTTGACTCAAAGGATGGAAGAAGCGGTGGCTACGGGCATCCTTCATGGATTCGCTAAGATAGGGGAAACGTTCGTAAAATCACGCGGCAATGGTGAAAAATAGAGTTCTTCGGGGGATTCTGTAGCTAACACTTAAAAACGCATTTATCAATTAAATTTATTATACCGCGGCCAGTTTCACTGGCCGCTTTTTTTGTCTTTATTTAATCTAAGGATAAAAAGAGAAGAGAATTTTCTATACCTACAATTTTCTATACTTGCCTACTTTGTAGCTTGCTCACTTTTCTGCGAAAATCTTTCGCTTGCAAAGCAAGTCTGTGTGTTCGTGTAATAATGCAAGCTTTTGAAATGTCTTTCGTTCGCGGAGTTTTCAAATGGCTCGCGTGCGTGATCATGCAGGCAAGCTCCTATTGAAATGAAAACCAATTTAATGATGCAAGTCTCCGTCGCAAGCGCATAATTAATTTAATTTTCATTTCAATAGGAGACCAACAACTACTTGCAAGTCCTTCGCAAGTTATTCGGGTAGGCGAAAGCTTGCAAAGCAACTTCCTTCGGTGCGCGGCACGGTGCGCAGCACGGACCTTCGCTTGCAAAGTTCTTCGGCGCATTAGTTTCCGCCGCCTTTAGGTGCTTAGTTTGCTCGTGCGAAGCACGCGCAAACTAAGCGCAAGCGAATTTCTAACGCGCCTTCGCTTGCAAAGCAAGCTCGTTTTCTTGCCTGACGGATTCCGCAGTTGCCGTTTAGGGCACCGAAGGTGCTCCTTTACTTGCCTTTGGCGACTAAAGAAAAAAAAACAAAAACCTTTGTGCCTTCGCTTGCAAAGCAAGCGAAGCAGCTTTATGTTCTTTAGGTGCCAATTTCTCGCACCGAAGGCGCTCCTTTGGTGTCCTGTCCTAAGGCTCGCACGGTTCGCGCCCTCGGTGCGAGAAAGCCTCGCAACGGCGAGGCTTTCCTTACGGGTGTTTCGCGCTAAGGGAAGTTCGTTAGGACTTCAGCGCCTTCGTCGGGTACATTATTAGATTAGGCTGCCGAAGGCGTGATTGGCTTCGCTTGCGCTCGCGCCGAAGTTCTAACGAAAACAAAGAATAATGACGCCAGCTCGCACCGCAGACGGGGCATTATGGTCGCGCATAATATATATTTTGCAAGCTGTGTTTTTACGTATTTTCTTTTTGCGGGGCTAGGCCCTCGCGCTCGTTTTGGGGCTTTTTGCACAACCATAAACGGAACCTGCGGAACCTGACGGAAACATTAGATAGGTTCGAATAATTTAATTCGCGGACCTGTGCGTGCGGAAGACATAAGCTTGCTTGCATGCATTATTCTATGGGAAAGACATACTTGCGAAAGATGCGAAAGACTTGCATGCACATAATAATATAATGCGCTTTCGCAGAACAAAATAATAATATAATGCGCTTTTGCAGAACAGAATACAGCTGGCATGCATTGTGCGTATCATTTTTTTGTGCGAAGAACTTGCAAATGATCTAAAAAGCAATCCTGCGGACCGTCAATTCTTTTTAACATACTTGACTGTAGTTGACTTAAAAAATGTCATATTTGCTTCGCACCTGCGGACCTAGCTAAAAAAGAATTTTAGGCCAAATTTTTCAAAATTGTACAAAAAAGTTATGTTGCGTTAACAAAGTTATATGAAGTTTACCAATAAAGCAAAAACTTTTCTTGTTACTACAAAAATGTCAAAGACTGTACTGTAATATTGATACTTGCTGCTTTTTTCTTTGAAGTGAACTTAGATAAATATTTAGCTCAGTGAATCTAGTCTAATTTATTGGCATAGGGCCGTTAGGCAACAACCTAAAATCTCTGTTGTAATTCAATTCTTAGCAATACTTCACCAAGCTTCAGTGTAACAAGTAATTTATGAAATAAAAAAGAATATTTCAAATAACAAGAATGAAAATTAAATAAAGATGAAAATTAAATAAACTTTATCTTATTCTTTCTTTCTGAAAAGATATGTGATCAGAATGAAAATATACTTGTAAGTACCACTGTCACTCTGACGAGCCTTATTAGAAGCATAGTCAAATCTTGCCATAAAATAAATGATGTAAAAATCATACAAATTTCGTATAACTCTGTACCAATACAACTACTGGTGGGAAGCAATGGCGTGAAGCGGGTGCGCAGCATTCAATCAATAGTTTTTGTGAAGTTATTCGCTAGAACGAGGTTCCGAAGGAACAAGCGATGGCGCCTTCGCGAGCTTCGCTCGCTCGCACACTTCGTGGTTTGCTTCGCTTGCGCTCGTCCAACCGTGGTTTGCTTCGCTTGCGCTCGTCCAACCGTGGTTTGCTTCGCTTGCGCTCGTCCAACCGTGGTTTGCTTCGCTTGCTTTTTTCTTCGCAAGCAAAGCACACTTCGCGGGTTTGCAAAGCTTGCGCTCGCACGCTTTGCGCCATCGCGAGCTTTTTTCTTAGCTCGCTCGTTCTAGCGAACCTTCGGTGCGAGCGTAAGCGAAGCAAATCAGCCGCAGGCAAGAGCGAGCGAAGCTCGCGAAGGCTTCGCGCCTCATCAACGAGCGTAAAACTCTTTCGCCCCGCCTACAAGCAACTTAACAAGCGGTGCTAGACGGGGAATGCAAAGGTTGCGCACATAAAGGCGAGGCGCGGAGCATTTAGCAAGCTTTGCTTGCTAAATGCACTCCTGCCTGAAGGAGCCTCGTTACAACTTTGCTTGCGACAGAGACTTGTTATGGAGACTTGCGAAGCATGCTCAAACTTTCTGCGAAACCTTATCGCGTGCTTCGCACCACGAAAGCTTTGCTTACGATACTTAGGGGTGCCTTTTTTATCAACTTTACGCAATGACTTTTGAAATCAAATTATATAAATATTTCTTTAAATTATCAATAAAAAAAAGTGCTAACGAAAGAAAGCACTAAACTGAATCCAATACATGAGTTTGATCCTGGCTCAGAATGAACGCTAGCGATATGCTTAACACATGCAAGTCAAACGTTGTAACAAAAAAGTTCACAAAGTGGCGAACGGGTGCGCAACGCGTGGGAATCTGCCAAGTAGTAGAGGAAATTACAATCTAAATCCTCTATATAAGTAGCTTTTTCAAGCCTTAGAAAGCTAGAATGCGCTATTTGATGAGCCCGCGTAGTATTACGGTAGTTGGGGGGTAAAAGCCCACCAAGCCTATGATGCTTAGCTGGTCTTTTCGGATGATCAGCCACACTGGGACTGAGACACGGCCCAGACTCCTACGGGAGGCAGCAGTGGGGAATCTTGGGCAATGGGCGAAAGCCTGACCCAGCAATATCGCGTGAGTGAAGAAGGGCAGATAGCTTGTAAAGCTCTGTCATCGAGTTTGAGATAATGACAAGACTCGAAGAGGAAGCCCCGGCTAATTAACAATTGGCCCTTATAGCGCGCAAGCGTTATTCGAAGAACTTGGCTCATAACGGTGGAAGTCTTTGGGATTTGTTACGCTTGCTTATAGTAACTCAAAGGTAATACCGTGGGAAGTCTTTCTAAACAAGAAAAAAAAGTATAATGATTCAGCTGAAATAGGTAGTAGAATTGAAAGCTGGAAATCATCATCTAATATTAATATCCCATAGTATGGTTTATGTATTCCTGCACGAAACTTTGGGTCTTTGCGAGAGGCCATTTATGATATTGTAAAAAAGGAAGTACCTACCATGTTCTATAAAAAAGAAAGACCCCGTAACGACTGAGGAAATGGCATCTGCTTGCAGATTCCAAAGTACAAGATAGCAAAACTTGCTATAAGACGCCGAGGCTCTTGCTGCCAAGCAAGAGTATGGTATAGTCTATGCTTTGGTGTGAACCAAAGAAATACATGAACTACGTGCCAGCAGCAGCGGTATTTCAAAAACGTTTTGCCGCCTGGAATAGTGATGTTCCAGAAAAATCCGGCTCATAACGGCGAAAGTCTTTATTCCTTAGCGGAATAAAGGTAATGCCGTGGGAAGTTCTTTGCTGAGAAGCAAAAACCCCGTAACGACTGACTCGAAAGAGGAGAGCTAAATAGCTAATACGCCGGCGCTTACAAAAAAAGGAAAGCAAATATGAGAACTAAAATAGAGAATTTTGAATTTCAGAAATTAAGGAAGAAGATAGGCTGCGCAGCAGTTGACAGTGCATATTCTTCTATGGTAAGGCAAGCTGCTGCATCGCAATCGAGCGAGGTAGCAAATCAAATAGAGACACCCGAAAAATAGAAAACTTGGGCCCCTTTTGTTTAAGTTTGGAGTACCTAGTTGGTTTTTTTGAAACAGACGGATCTTTCCAAATACTGTTTAAGAAAGATCCAACAATGCCTATAGGTTATAGAGTTCACCCAGTAGCTATCTTTAGTCAACGAGAAAGAGCTATCTTAGAAGGAGTTAAAAGAAGACTTGAGCACCATCAAATAAGATGTCAAATGAAGGATGGTAGTAGCAAATCAGTAGGGGATGCAAGTTTAATAACTTCGGGAAGAGCTTCTAATCTTATAATATCGGGTATCAAGGAAGTGCGTAAGTTTTTGGATTTATTTAATAAAGCCGAGGCGGTTATGCATGGAATTAAATGGGTGGATTTGCATATAATGAGAGCAGTCTTATCTATTATAGAAGAAAATAGGCATAATAGTCTTGAAGGTCGACTTGAAATAATTGATCTAAAATTTCACATGCATGTAGATTCTGAAGAAGAGGCGGCAAAGCGAGTAGGAGGTCTTAGTAGAGTAAGCTGGGAAAAAAAGACACAAGAGTGTGCCTGGTTCATCTTATAAAAAAGCGATTTCAACGAGTTGGCTTATATATGATAATTATAAGTGGCACAAACTTTGTTGGATGGATCAGAAGGCTGTAAGCCAGTAAATGAAAACCAATTAACTAATGATCGGGGACTTCTTCAAGTGGCCTTCGACAAGAAGTTCGATATAGAGCTACCGAAATTCAAACAAATATCGGGAGATTATATATCGGGGCAACTAGAGGGCGACGGTTGCTTAACTTATCATGTGAGAGTCAATAAAAGAAGTGTAAGCTTTGAGGCTAGTTTGCGTAAACCAGTGGAAAAGGGAGGCTCCCTAATATTAGAAGTCATAGCTTCTTATTTTGGGGATAGAACGAAATTCCACTTGAAGAGTTCTCGGTCAAAGGGGGCGCTTGTGTGTATTGGTCAAGTAATAAAGAAGTCTTAAAACGATTATTGGTTCATGCAGAAGCTTACCCTATACTAGGGAAAAAAAAACAGATCGAAGCGGCCTTATTTAGAATTGCATTCCAAAGACTCGAGAAATTGGGAATATAGCGAAATAATAGAATTAATAAAATTAATTTATAGAAATTCTCCTAGTCGAAGAGTACGGAAAAAGCCACTTTCGATCTTAATATCTGAAGTTGAAAAAATATATTCGTCTCGAAGTAAATAAGTCTCTAAGTTTGCTAGTAAGTAGAAAGCATAGTCTAATCCGATAAGTAATTATTGGTATATAAAAGAAAACGTGGGGGCGAGTGTTATTCGGAATGACTAGGCGTAAAGGGCATGTAGGCGGTCAATCAGGCTGAAAGTGAAAGCCACCAGCTTAACTGGTGAATTACTTTCAACACCAATTGACTTGAGTAAGATAGAGGAAGGTGGAATTTCGTGTGTAGAGATAAAATTCACAGATATACGAAGGAAGGCCAAAAGCGAAGGCAACTTTCTGGGTCTTTACTGACGCTGAGGTGCGAAAGCATGGGGAGCAAACAGGATTAGATAGATCCGGCCATGCTCTAAAAAAAATGGCCAAAGGTGTCCCTTGCTCCGTGAGGAGTGAGTGTGAATCTAGCTATTTCGGGGAAAGCCAAAGCAGTGGTAACCCCGAGGGAAGTACTTATTGTCTCAATTGGATAATAGAGTACCCCGTAGAGACTATGAAAGAAAGAAGATAGAAGATATGTCACCACGAACTACAAAAAATGCAAGTTTTATTCATCATGCTTTATTACGTCAACGGCCCGGCTTAAAGTTTTCAGGGGGCCTGCGCAGGGGCGCTTTCTTCCGAAAGTCTTTGGGTGTGATGAAAAAACAGGTAAAACTTTTTGACCAAATATCTTTGTCGGATCATTGTAAATCTATTATTTGTGGAACACTATTGGGGGATGGGTGTCTACAGATAGCTAAAGGCTATAAAAATGCAAGACTATCCATTCGTCACAGCCAAGTTCAAAGGGAATATTTTGATTGGAAAATTGCCAATTTAAAAGAAATCGCTTCACCAAAATCTGTCCAAATATCTAAAGCTAGTGGTTATAGTAAGAATACAAAATTCTTATTTCAAAGTGCGAGTCTACCCGAACTTACGTTGATGTATAATCTTACGTACAAAAAAAAACGGCTTTGTATTCGTCGTCGTTGGCTTAATAAGCTTACTCCGCTATCTTTGGCTATCTGGTGGTGCGATGATGGGTCAATTATAGGAAATCCACCTCGTAGAGGCGTGTTATGCACAGATGGTTTTGACGAAAAGTCAGTTCGAATGCTTGCGCGTTATTTAGAAAAAGTGTGGGCGCTAAAAGCACATGTAGGCGCAATTCGTCGAGACCGCAAATATGGTAATTATACTAAGAAAGAATATTTTCGACTTTGGTTTAGTACCAAAGAGCTTAAGAAGTGGCTACGTATTATACTGCCACACATTCCTGTAGCCTCTATGGTGTGTAAAACAAGACTAATTTACAAGGATTCCCAATTTCAACAACGCTGGATCTCTGAGCAGTGTTCAGCCTTGCCTCAATTTACTAATGAAATAGAAGAACTCTATATCCTAAAAAGAAAGCAAAACATTGATTCAGAGAATGATATAGTCCAATAGTGAAGCTTTTCTTCACTTTGACCCTGGTAGTCCATGCCGTAAACGATGAGTGTTCGTCCTTGGTCTTGCCCTATAGGCGGATCAGGGGCCCAGCTAACGCGTTAAACACTCCGCCTGGGGAGTACGGTCGCAAGACTGAAACTCAAAGGAATAGACGGGGGCCTACACAAGCGGTGGAGCATGTGGTTTAATTCGATACAACGCGCAAAACCTTACCAGCCCTTGACATATGAGTAAGCTTATCTTTAATCAGATGGCTCTAAAAACTCATACAGGTGCTGCATGGCTGTCGTCAGCTCGTGTCGTGTTCATTTCGCGACCAAGCTAAGTGATTAGTTTGAAAAATCCGACTCATAACGATGGACCCCCCTAAGTTGATTTAAAACACGCTTAGCGGAGGCAATATCGTGGGAAGTTCTATTCTAGTACAAGCTGAAAAGATTAACATACAAATAATTCCATGATTATCGGCTGCATACTTGGAGATGGGTAATAAATATAGTAGTTTAACTTTGGAACATTAAATCGAGCAATCAGACTCTATCTATTGAAAATATGCAAAGTTAAAAGAGTTGAAATTCTTAACCGAAAAATGCGAGTCCAAATTAGTAAAAGGTATTCATCCAAAAACAAGAAAAGAGACAAGACCTTTACGATTTAATGCAAAAAGTTTGTTTAAAGAAGAAAGATCCCTTTTTTCATGATGGCATTAAGCTTATACCTTCTAACTTTGAAGCTATTTGTACTCCTGAAACTCTTCGTTTTTGCTTTATGGATGATGGTGGAAGATGTGGCAATGCGCCCGCAGGGCTTGGTCCTTGATATTTCTGCAACTAATTGAGATAGTGCTCAAATAGTTTCATCTTGTTTATTTAGCAATTATGGAATCAATACATTGTAGTGGCACAAGCTCAAAAAGTGTATTTTAAAGGAAATACTGTTAAATTCTTTTGTCATCTGATTCGGCCCTATATTACTCCTTGTATGTTATATAAGCTTGAGCATCTTTTAGTTCGCTCTAGGCGCGAACAAGAGTGCGATACGATTTAGAATTTGAACCCCGTAACGACTTAGTCAACTGTATGTAGTTAAAAGAGGTGCGAAGCATTTGAGCTTTTGTAGATACATATTTTTTTGACTGGATAGCAAAAGCTATAAGACGTCGGCTCTTTGCAGACATGAGATGTAGGCAAAGATGAAGGTATAGTCTGACTATTATTGTAAGATAATAGACTAAAGGAGATGTTGGGTTAAGTCCTATAACGAGCGCAACCCTTATTTTGTGTTGCTAAATGAAAACTTTTTCATTGCACTCACACAAAACTGCCAGTGATATACTGGAGGAAGGTGAGGATACTGGCTTAAAAGACGTTGTCCTCAACTATGGTGACATAGTTTTCTAAAAAACCTGGTGAATTGCAAGAACGCTAAGTGACTCTGATCATATGCCAACTTGCAGCGAAAAATACTAAAGAAGTAATTTTGTAAGTATGTACGTTCAACGACTAGAGAGTGAGGATACTTCACTAATAACCTCTCCACGAGCGCCGGCTACTTTGCCAAACTGTACCCAAAAGTCAGGGGAATAATTCTACGTGGATTATAGGTGCCATTTTAGGGGACGGTTCTATCTATATCGCCCCCAAATACTATATATCGCACATTCCGTTAAACAAAAAGAATATTTTTTTTGGAAGTTTAACAAGCTAAAAAAGGGGAGTACTCTCGGAAAAGTTTCAACCAAAAGTATGCAAACAAACACATTCCAAGACCGGAAAAATTTACGAAACAAAGTTTGTATGTCTAAACCCATAAAAGAACGCACACTGTGTGTGGTATCCTAATGGTGTCAAAACAGTTCGACAAGACTTCGATTTGTCTCTCAATGTCGAAGCTTTAGCTCTTTGTTTTATGGACGATGGGGACAAATAGTGCTTTCGGTTCTGGTATGATCATTGATGTATCACATTTTCCCAAGTCATGTCAATTTTCTTTGCAAAAGCTACTTTTGAAAAATTTTAGTTTAGAAACCACATTTCATGTGCGATCAGCGAAAAATGTGAAACTTTATATTCTATCCGAGCTCGTAGTGCTGCTACTTTTCGTAATCTTGTCTAAGAGTGGAAAGTACCAGAAATGAGATACAAATTAACTCGCTCTCTCTAAGGGTCAAATTTGGGAAAGTAGATGACATAGTCTGACCTTCTAGGAAACTAGAAGAAATAAGAGATAAACACTCTTATTATAACACAAACAAATGGACGTCAAGTCCGCATGGCCCTTATGGGCTGGGCTACACACGTGCTACAATGGCAATTACAATGGGAAGCAAGGCTGTAAAGCGGAGCGAATCCATAAAGATTGCCTCAGTTCGGATTGTTCTCTGCAACTCGAGAACATGAAGTTGGAATCGCTAGTAATCGCGGATCAGCATGCCGCGGTGAATACGTACCTGGGCTTTGCACTTACCGCCCGTCACGCCCTGGGAATGAACTTCGCCCGAAGGCATCGACAAGTGTTCATACTTTAAAAGTCAAGTGCCTGTTGGCTTTTGTCTTAATTTATGAACATAAATGTCGTAAACCACGGTGGGGTTCGTGACTGAGGCGAAGTCGTAACAAGGTAGTCGTAGGGGAACCTGCGGCTGGACTGTCTCTTTTTTCTTTCTCACTGTAACGTTCCATCATCTTGCTTTCTCGAATAGAGTACCTAAGATAATTTTTTCTGAAAAACTATCGCTTCGCGCCTTATCAATTTGCTTTTGTTTTCTTTAGATTTAGTACTTCATTTTTGAACTATTTCTTGTCTAGTACAACTATGTCTATGTTCTTTTATGCTGAAAAGAAATGTGCAGGCTCTCTCAAGAGTACAATCTCTGCCTAAATAAAAATCATGTTACTTTAGTTAGCTGGAAGTTAGATGCTACCAACCTGCAACACAAGGCTTAGACTCGCCCCGGTTGGTGCTGACGCTCTTTGTCTAAAGTGTCGCTTGCGCGGAATAAATTCTAGTGGGTATGTGTCTCTTAAAAGTAAGTCTCCGTCGCCCACGCTTACTTCGCAAGCTTGCATGCTTCGCGGGGTTGCAAAGCAAAGCTTGCTCTGCTTGGTTGGCAACCGTCGCCGGCGACGGTTGCAAGTTCGTAAGAACGACAAGGAACACCGCAAGCTTCGCTTGCTAAAATGGAGGTTGCTCGTGCGAAGCACGCGCATTTCGATGGCGCAACTTTATTCGAGGTCTCCTGTTAGGTAGGTTCGTCAGAGCGAGCAAGCGACATTCTTTGATTAGGCGCCTTCCTTGCGAGCGCAAGCTTTGCAGCCACCGAAGGAAGGCGCCTTCGGACATTTTTTTTTGCGGACATTTTTCATTCAATGCAGAGACATATTGACCACCTGCATCATGCGCTATATCTAAAGAAGAAAGTTTTGGTTATCCGCAAGTGTTTACTCCCATGGTTCCTTCGAAGAATAGTTTTTTTTTTCTGCGAAACAAAAAACTATTCTTCGAATAAGGGCGACTTTACTTGTTCGCACCTAACGCTTTGTTGCTTTTTCAGTGCAGACACAGCAAAAGGCAGAATAGTTTAGTTGGTTAGAACAACGGAATCATACTCCGTGTGCCGGGGTTCAAGTCCCTCTTCTGCCAAGCTTCTTTTTATAGCTTTGGTATCATAAGGGGCGAAGCGTGTGGTAGATTCGCGTATTGTTAAGAAAACGAATATCATATAGTCTGTACTTCTTCTTTTTCAGCGATTCTAACGCGCCTTCGCTTGCAATGCAAGCTCGTTTGTTTCGCACAAATGTTGCTTGCTCATTCTGACGAACCTAACGGAACCTTCGGTGTGAGCGCATTTCGATGGCAAGCGAAACATATCACGAGTTGGCGGGTGAAGCAGTAAAATGTTTCGCGCATATTTTCTTTTCTCCGGAACGTCACAAGCAAAGCTTGCTCGAGTTTTCTTCGCGTGAGAATGCAAGCAAGCGAATCTTGAGCCTGGCGGACCCATATGCGAGTCTGGCGGGTAGGCGAAAGCGCGTGTGATAATGCAAGCTTTGCTTGCTCGTCCATTTTGCGTGGTTTTCTTCGAAAACGTCGCAAAGCGAGCAAGCAAAGCTTGCGATGCGCAAAGCGTGCGTTGTTAATACATGAATCTAAGAGCTGCCTTTTTCCAATGAAATTTTTTATAGAAATTCTTTTTAGTTATTGCTTGTAATTATTCTCTAAGACGTTAGATATGTCAAAACTTTATAATGTTTAAACCGGGCAAAAATGTAAAACGTGTTAACACCCGAACCCTTTTCGACCTCGAACTGTGAAATCGTTTTACGCCATATGTACTGATTTGTGAATTTTGGGAGACATGGGAGACCCGGTACCTTTTTAACGCACCGCAAGATTAAGTAACAATGATATTTCATTTGTTATGTATGAGAGCATCGCTCTGGTATTTTTTTTGTAGTTAGCTAGTCGCAGTGAAAGACAAGAAAGTTAAGTCAGCAGTTAGTAGGTTTCCTACAAGCAGAGGCGCGAAAGTCCGTAAGGACGAGCGAGCTTGCAAAGCTCGCGTGGCCTCCGGTGCGAGCGCAAGCGAAGCAAATCACGGTTGGACGAGCTTGCTTTGCAAAGCAAGCGATGGCGCAAAGCGTGCGAGCGCAAGCGAAGCAAACCGCGAAGTGTGCGAGCGAGCGAAGCTCGCGAAGGGTTGTTATCTTCTTTTGTTTGAAAGATTTCGCGTTTCATTAGGCTTTTTGATAGTTTTCGTCGAAAGACTGTTGTATTAGACCGCAATTCATTTCCGTAAAGACTAATAAATTTAGAACTTGGTTTTCTACTTGGTTTTTCGGAGATTAGTTTATCTCTATGCGAGCATTCTTCTTATGTTCAACTTTTTTATTTGATCTTTTGGTATTCAAAGAAAGCTTTAGAGTCTAACTTTCTTCTTTGCGGGATAGAGTAATTGGTAACTCGTCAGGCTCATAATCTGAATATTGTAGGTTCGAATCCTACTTCCGCCAGTTTGAACATTTTTATAAAGTCTCATAAAATTAGACAAAAAACGCTACTTTGGTTAATGTTCCCGTCGCGGTTCGTAAGAACGCGCCTCCGGCAGAAAATTAAGAAAAAAAATAGATCAATAGTGAATTTTTGGATAAACCTACATCCTCGCATAAAAGAATCAATTCTATATGCAAAAGAACAATTAGGTAACTAATTGCATCCATTTTTCTATGTATCTTCGGATTCAATCGATTTGGGTGAGGAGTTGCCAGCAAGACCCATAGAAGACGGTTTCCCTAAGGACAATCACACACACAAAGATTCCTGTTTTGGGAGATGTGCTTTTATGCGGTGCTAATAAAATGCATTGAAAGAATGCCTTGGCTTTAAGTAAAGGGACGCTAACTTAGGCGAAACACCATAGGAAGAAAACCTCTGTGCACTATGGGTCTCCCCTCGGAAAACCTATGAATGAAAACTACAGTGTGAATTGAAACATCTCAGTAGCACTAGGAAAGGACATCAACCGAGACTCCGTTAGTAGTGGCGAGCGAACGCGGATTTGGCTAATAGCGCACTAACCTTTTTTGTATTCTTTAGAAACAGTTTGGAATACTGTGCCAAAGAGGGTGAAAGCCCCGTATTTCATCGTTTACGATAACGAGTTTGCGCTTGCTAAGTAAAACACATCCTTTGTGTTAGAACGTTGTATTAAATACAGCAGGGGGACCGCCTCTAAGCCTAAGTACTTCTTAAAGACCGATAGTGAACAAGTACCGTGAGGGAAAGGTGAAAAGAACCCTAAGAAAGGGAGTGAAAAAGAGATCCTGAATTTCGATGCAAACAATCAGTCGCCCCTGAAGGGGACGGCGTACCTTTTGCATAATGGGTCAGCGAGTAAATGGACACAGCAAGCTTAAGCTGTTAAGTGTAGGCGTAGCGAAGTTGTTTTTTTAGTTGTCTTCATTTGACCCGAAATCGAACGATCTAGGCATGGACAGGTTGAAGAGAGTTCTAACGAGCCTTGGAGGACCGAACCCACGTATGTGGCAAAATACGGGGATGATCTGTGCCTAGGGGTGAAAGGCCAATCAAGTTCGAATAGCTGGTTTTCCGCGACATCTGTTTAGGCAGAGCGTATAAAGAAAGTCAATGATCCGAGGTAGAGCACTCAATGGATTAGGGTGGCCCAAAGCTTTACCGACTCCAAGGAAACTCCGAATGCGGTTTCATTTGAAGTTTATACAGACAGACTTTGGGTGATAAGATCCAAGGTCGAGAGGGAAACAGCCCAGATCGTATGCTAAGGTCCTTAAGCAATCACTTAGTGGAAAAGGAAGTGATCGAGCGATTACAACCAGGAGGTGGGCTTGACTCTTCCAGGCCCTCCTGTCTTAGTCTTTGCCTATCGAGTTAGATAGAAAAAGATCTAAGATAAACCAATTTGGCTATATGCTGAGAACGCCTAAATAGAAAATATCAGGGGCCAATCAGCAGACTCAACTGGGTCTCAACGACTACACGCCAAAAACTTTTTCAAAAACTACGTAATGAATTTATGAATCCATTCTATATTAGCGGACTTACGCAAGCTGACGGCTCTTTTTTTGTTCTTTTTGAAAAAAGAAAAGTTGTTTCTGCGAACCAGATAAAACTAAAACCAACATTCACTATAACTTTAGATCTTGCCTCGAAATCCGCCCTTGAAGCGATAAAACACTTTTTTGGTGGTATCGGCGGGCTTTGCGAGAATAGGCAAAACCATTCAATAGAATTTAGAGTAAACTCAATACCACAATTACGGAATACTATTATCCCGCATTTTATGAAATATCGATTATATGGGGAGAAAGAACATAGTTTTTTACTATTCAGCCAAGTGGTAAAAGCCATTTCGGAGAAGAAAGATTATGATAAACAAGAGCTCGCGCAATTAGTCAAACTCTGTTTCGCCATGAATCGTTCTACTCAAAGAACACAAAGCCAACTTGATTCGCTCCTTCAAGAATTGCCCATGACTGCATTTGCTGCTCCTGAAGTCGCACCTGCTTCGCAGCCTCCCGCTGGTCGAAGAGGAAGCTTGAATAAAAGTCTTCTCTCTGATACCCCGCCTGCTTCGACGCAGCGTAGGTCGAACCTGCAAGACCTTTTTCTTGTGGGGCTTATTGATGGAGACGGCTGCTTTTCAGTGAGCTTTTTAGCAAATAAGCGAATCTTACTTGGTTTTCATATCACCGGTGCTTTAACCAAAAGTCAATTGCGGCTTTTTTTTAGGGTCAAGCGGCGTTTTGATCAATGTGGTTCAATTACGAGAAAACGGGGGACTTCTTCTAAGAGCTATTGCCGCTATCAAGTGGATTCTTTCAGGGATATAAAAAAATGCATAGTACCCTTCATGGATCAGCACACTTTGTATACCGAAAAGGCTATTCATTATGCAAAGTTTAAAAAAGTGGTAGATTTAATAGAAAGGAAGGCTCATCTCAACCGGTCGGGCTTTTTAGAGATTGTGGAGATAGCTTATGATATGAATCAAGCGGGTAAGCGTAGAAAGTTGACTAAAGAAGAATATTTACAGAAATACTGTAGTTTTGATCCAAAGTTATGATATAGTCTGATCAATAGGTAGCGTAAGCTACTGTATGATTTGTGGAAGCTGCCATCCTTTGAAGAAAGCGTAATAGCTCACTGGTCTAGCTTCATTGCACCAAAAATGTATCGGGGCTCAAGTGATTCACCGAAGCAACGAGACTTAAAAAGTCGGTAGCGGAACGTTCTGTAAGTTGAAGAAGATTGTTGATAACAACAGTTGGAAATATCAGAAGTGAAAATGCTGACATGAGTAACGAAACATCATGTGAAAAACATGATCGCCGAATGTTCAAGGGTTTCTGCGTTCAGTCAATCTGCGCAGAGTTTTGCGGTCCCTAAGTTGACTCCGAAAGGCAGTATTACGATGGGTACACGAAAGTGACGAGGCTTTTTTTTACTTTGAAAAGATGCCTTTAGGCTCCGTGACATTCGCTTGTTTCGCAAGCGAAACATGGAAAACCTTTTGGCTGTTATTGGATCAACTTACAAGGTAAGAGCTTCCAAGAAAAACTTCGTGCTTCTTTTAAGGATTCTTTTTCCCCAAAAGAAGTCAACCGTACCCCAAACCGACACAGGTGAACAAGTAGAGTATACTAAGGCGCTTGAGAGAACCATGTTGAAGGAACTCGGCAAAATGACCCCGTAACTTCGGGAGAAGGGGTGCTTTGCTCTTTGCCATGCAAGGAGTAAAGTGGCACATACCAGAGGGTAGTCGCCGCCCTCTTTAAATTTCACTATATGCGGGAACACCCAACGGGCAATCCGCAGGAAAAAACACACACACAAAGCAAAATGACCTCAACTCACACATATACCAGAACTTGGCAATTTGACTTGGTATTCATTAAATGAAGAAGGTGATATACTTAATTTGACATTACCAGCTCTGACGAGCCTGTATTTCTATTTTTAGACTAATGCCACAACCTGAACACACTTATGTTGGATCCACCAACAACTTAAAGCGAAGAATTCTGTATCATAGATCAGATTTTGCTCGTAATAAGAATACTTGCCCTTTGTTCTACCAAGCAATTCGTGAGCATGGTTGGCAGCAGTTTGAGTTTGCTGTATTAGAGCATGTTTTGGTTGAAGCCCACTTGCTGCAACGAGAACAATATTATTTAGATAGTCTTTTACCGCATTTTAATGTAAATAAGTTAGTATGGTCTGAAAAGGGTATATCGCGTTTTCCTCAGGATGCGCAAATTGATCGGATCAAGTGGCCTAGAAAATTGTCGGACGAAACTAAAGCCAAGATTAGCGTAGCGCGACAAGCACAAATGCAAGACGAGGCTTACGAATTGATTCGCCAAAAAATGCGAGAAAGTCGCTTAGGCAAGACTCTGTCTACCGAAACACGAGAGAAGATGCGCCAAGCTCATTTAGGCAAAAAACGTGGGCCATATAAACAAAAGAAAAAAGATTCCTAGAAATGATTGTGCCTTTTCTGTTCTGTGAGGCCTCTCCTGTATGGGAAATAGGATTATGGCAGCACATCTCGGCATGGTTACGACAGTATGGTTGCGCTTATTGTGTATGTGTAATTCCTCAGAGACTCTAGGTGAAAAAGACCATTGAATGGCTTATGATAGAGTCCACGTATTTATTCACCTCCGACTCCTCGGTATCGCAGTCCGGCATGATATACTACTTTCTTGCTCGGCAAAAAAAGGTAATACCTATGGGGAGGAAAGGCGAATGAGTATAAATAAACCTGGACGACTGTTTACTAAAAACACAGGACTCTGCTAAGTGGTAACACGATGTATAGGGTCTGACACCTGCCCGGTGCTGGAAGGTGAACAGGAGAAGTCTTAACAGCTTTGAATCGAAGCCCCAGTAAACGGCAGCCGTAACTCGTAAGGGTTAGATGTGTAGTAATACATGTTGATACAATCCGACTAAATAAAGGGATCTCTTGCTGAACAACAGCATGAAAATCTTTAGGCAAGATCGATTTATGCTAATGCACAAAAGCTTGCTGCAACGACTACATGTCGGATGGCTCCTGCCTTGCTTGTCAAGAGTCAAAGAAATAGTCTGAACTTTGTGGTAACATAAAGCACACTTATGTTTAGACATAAGTAACAAGATTGCTAACGGTTCTAAGGTGAATTTATTTGCTTTTATTTAGCTTTTCGGTAATCCCAACTAAAATATGAACTAAAATATGAAATTATCACATGATTGTATATGTGGCTTTGTTGAAGGATAGGGATCTTTTGTTATTTCTATAACAAAAAGATAATCTTCAAAATCAGAAAAGGTCACACAACATATTAAAAAAGAAAGAAGAAAGTTAAATAAAGCGCCTACGCTGCCTTACTTCTATAGTAACATAGAATATCCAACCTCACCATATGCGAGAATAACTCCGTTCTAACTGCAGCTTAAACCGTAGCTGACTAGACAGGTTAGTATGACCTGTACCCTACGTACACTAAAACGTAAAAATGGGACAGCAAGGAGTCAACCCGCAGGAAACTTATAAAGATTTGATTTCCTTCGGAACCTTAAGAATCGTCATTTTTTTATAAGGCTCCTCAGAGACCTTACGTGAGGCTTCTTGTTTTTTTTAATCACAACAAAATGATTCGTACCATGATTTATCCACAAAAATGTGCACCCGATTGGATTGTTGGATTTACTGATGCTGAAGGTCATTTCAGTATTATTCAATCACGAAATAAAATTCGGTGCCGTTTTATTATTTCACAAAATGCACGTTCAATTCATGCCTTATATGCAATCAAAGACTATTTTGGCGTTGGACACGTAAATTGTGCTGGTGGTAAAATGTATGCTTACACCGTAGGCAATCTTAATGATATCTATGACAAAATTATTCCATTTTTTGAAAAATATACTCTTCATTCTAACAAATATTTTGATTGGCTTTTATTTCGGCATGCCCTTGAAGCACAAAAAAATCGTTCTAGTCACAACTTATTTAGAGCGAAACTCATTAAAAAAAAAGATTCTATAACACTTCAAAACCAAATAGAGAGCTTACTACAGACTGGTTCCTCGGCTTTTGTGATGGAGAGGCTTGTTTTACGGTATCTCTTGTAAATAAAGTAGTGCGTCCTCAGTTTATTATAGGTATACATCAAAAAGACCAGGATCTGTGCTATAAAATAAAAAATTTATTAGAGTGCGGGTCTGTATATCAACGAAAAAGTGGATTTATTATTTATCAAATATCAAAGTGTGAAGATCTTCTAAAAAAGTTGTTGCCCCTATTATACATTAATGGGAAATATCATAGATTGCGAACAAAAAAAAATTATGTGTCTCTTATTTTGCTCGTATTTTGCAAAAGGTAAAGAAAAAAGAAGACAAGACTGATACTTGGTTAAATCATATAAGATTGTTGAAAAAACGTATGAGTGATTATAAAAAAAGTAAGTAGAAGATAAGGTCCGGACTTTTGTGTGAACAAAAGAAGTAACTAAATCCTTCGCATCAAAGATGCAAAGCCATCATCGATGCAAAGACTAACTAGTTAATATATAGGAGATTTAGCGAACAACAAAGTCAAGCGAAATTCCTTGTCGCATAAGTAGCGACCTGCATGAATGGTAGACTAATATCGTTATGCCATAATTTTTCGCAAGAAAAGTAGCGATGCAGTAATTTTAGACAACTTGACTATATGCGGGAAATCCCAATTTAATCGGACAACCCGCAGGCGCTTAGAATAAGACAAAGAAAATGAACAAAGAAGATCAAATTTTTGAAAAACTAAACATTCTTTGGTACAACATTGATGAATCCGGCCGGATACTACATTTTGAGACCAATAGTCCCGGCGTCTATGTATATCGAAATATATTAGAATTGGACAAAGTCTACATTGGCTCTACGGCGACTCTGAGTAAAAGAACAAAACGACACCAATCGGAGGTGGCTCAAGGGAAAGGCTCATGTCCTCGATTCTACAATGCTGTACGTAAACATGGTTGGTCACAATTTCAATTTGGAGTCTTAGAGTATGTATCAAACTTATTTGAGTTAATTGCGAGAGAACAGTATTTTTTTGATTGAATACTCCCCCATTATAATGTCAATAAACTGGCGGGCTCCATGCGTGGATTTAAGCATTCGGCCGAGTTTTCACAAAAAATACGAGCGGCTAGACTTGGTAAAAACATAGTGTTGACACAAAGCAAAGATAAGCCGATCTCTTCTCAAAAAAGTACGATGCTTGAGGCGACGTCAGCCGCAGGCCTTTTAGACGATAACACACTTACCCAAATGAGTACTGCTATTGTGACTTCACAAAAAAAGCCAAAGCGAAGTTCGCTGTCAATGCAACACCGGGCTAAATTAAGCAAAGCTATGCTGGGCAAGAAATTAGCTGCTGGAAAACGCGCCCCACTTTCAGAAGAACATAAAGCCAAGATTCGTGATGCTATGATTGGGGGAAAGCGTGGTCCACTTTCGGAAGAACATAAAGCTAAGATTCGTGATGCTTTAATTGGTAAAAAACACAAGATCTGATTTGTTTAAATTTTTGGCGCCTCAGAGACTTTACGTCAAGCAGGCTTGAGCGCTTCGCGCCATATCTCAAGGTTGAAGAGAAAGTCCAAAATGCGAGGTAACGATCGCCCTACTGTCTCCAACATGGACTCAGTGAAATTGAATTCTCCGTGAAGATGCGGAGTACCAGCGGCTAGACGGTAAGACCCGTGCACCTTTACTATAACTTTGCAGTGATAGCCTTGATTGAATGTGTAGGATAGGTGGGAGACTTTTGTCGTCCTTGAAATACCACCCTTTCGTCAGAGGATATCTAACTGCCATTTTTAGGCAGGACACTGCATGGTGGGTAGTTTGCCTGGGGCGGGCGCCTCCTAAAGAGTAACGGAGGCGTGCGAAGGTAGGCTCAAGCTGGAAAAATACCAGCTTTGGAATGCAATGGTATAAGCCTGCCTGACTGTGAGACCTACAAGTCGAACAGAGACGAAAGTCGGCCATAGTGATCCGGGAGTCCCGTGCGGAAGGGCTCTCGCTCAACGGATCAAAGGTACGCCGGGGATGAAACTGTTGTCCCATTTTTTGGTAACAAAAAAATAGCGTACCTGTGTTGCTATCATTCGCAACATACTTAAAATAATCGGGTGAATTGCAAAAACAAGACCATGCATCACTGCTGCGCACATGCAAGCAGCGTGCATTGTCTGGTCTCAATTTGCAGCGAAGCTTGTTAAAAAGAGATGGATGCTTTACAAAAGAAAGCAGGTGTAAACAAGAACGTTCAACGACTAGGGAATGAGGAATCTCTTGCCAATAAGTTCCCCACGAGCGCCCGACTGCTCTAAACATAATATTACTCAACATGTGTATAAGCAAAGATCAAATTGGTTCTAGTCGAAAATTTTTACGTCAGTATAAAGAAAAACTTACTTCTTTAAGTCAGATAGAGTTTGAAAATGCTATAGGCCTTTGTTTAGGTGATGTTAGTCTTCAAAAGTCTGTATCCAATCATGAAGAATTTCGTATCAAATTTGAATGGGGAGATAAGCACAAAGATTATGCTTTTCATGTGTATAATATTTTTCAAAGATGGTGCTTATCAGAAACAAAACGAATTGAGCGACGAAATGCTAACGGCAAGATTGTTGTAAGCTGGCGATTTCAAACAATAACTCATAGGGCTTTTCTACCTCTTGCTAATCTATTTTTAGACGCAGAGCGTAATTACCGAAAAAGCATACGACCGGGTATTGTGAAAGACCACTTAACAGATCGTGCTTTTGCTTATTGGTATATGGACGATGGTAGTATCGCTTCAAAAAACCGACTTGGTACAGTACTCCATACACAAGGCTTCGATCTTTCTGAAGTTCAAATACTATGCCAAGAGTTAACCGAGAAATTTGCTTTGAAGTGTTGGCCTAAGCTAAATAAGGGAAAGTATTGTATAGTAATTTCTGGACATAGTTTTGATATTATTATCTCACTACTGTCCCCTTGGGTGATCCCGCAAATGGCTCACAAATTACCAAGAAGATCTCAAAGTCGTGAAGCTGAAAGGTCGATAGAGTAAGGCGCGAACTAGATGTTACAGTGCTAATGGAAAGTGATATTGTTTAGTTTAGAGTAGATGACATAGTCTGAACTGAATGGTGACATTCAGAGAGCTTACTTCCTTAAACGCACAACGGTGTTGCGAAGCATAAACGCGAAGCAACTTAAGAAAGGCAAGCCATAACAAAATGAACAGGCTGATGACTCCCAAGAGCTCATATCGACGGAGTCGTTTGGCACCTCGATGAAATCAACTTCGCGCTTATGCGCGGTCTCAATTGTCGAGGAGAAAACGGGTTAATTGTCAAGAACGTCTCTTTTTGAACAAAAGAGATAACTTGCAGCGAAGCTCATCAAGGCACGAAGTATGTGTGCATAACATGCATATGGGATTTGATGAGAACGTTCAACGACTAGGAGATGAGCATGCCAGCAATATATCTCGGTGATTTTTCTAGGCTAAGTGCGCAGCACACTCGGTTTTTTATTCAAATCGAGTCGCGTTCTTCGAACCTTTCCATAAAAACGCGCACCTCGCAGGAAATTACCCCGCCAATCGGTGGCCACGAGCGCCCGTTTGCTATTTTATTTGCATGAAATTAATATGAAAAAAATAGTAAAAGACATAGTCTGAGCTGCCCTGTGAAGGGCAGATATATAAGATAAAGAGCTTATATGATAACAATACTGGTCGACTTGAATAAAATTGGGTCCATAAGGTGCGTGAGCCCTTATGCAAATTTGGCTTATAACGGTGAACCCTAAGGTGTAATACTCAACTACATTATGGCAATACCGTGCGAAGTTTTAAGAATGAAATATGCTAACAACAAAACAAGAGGCTGCGCAGCAGTTGGAAGCTTATTAGGTGATACACACATAGAATACAATGGAAAAAATTGTCGTGCACGTTTTTATCATAATATAGCCCAACTAGAATATCTAGAGTGGAAACATAAGATGTTAGAACCCTATTCGGGTACAATATCTAAATATACTATTTATGATAAACGAACTCAGAAGACTTATAAAAAAGCACGTTTTTATACTTACACACTGCCTCTTTTTTCTACTTATCGAGAACTATTTTATCAAAAAGGAAAAAAGATCGCTCCCACAAATAGAAAATCAATTTTCCATTCTAGTTTAGCATTGGCTGTTTGGTATCTAGATGACGGCTCTCTGAAAACAGATTGTCAGGCTTTTAAACTTCATACAAACAACTTTACATTAGTTGAAGTTGAGATGTTAAAAGATACACTCGAACTAAATTTTGATGTAAAAAGCAAACTTCACAAACAAAGAAAGAACTTTCTATTGGAAGTAAACATTCAGAAGCAAAGAAATTTAGTCAGGTTATTCGACCTCTGGTTGAGTCAGAGATACCAAGTATGCTTTATAAATTCTTTTAACCGTGTAACGACTGAAGAAATAAGAAAATCTAATCAATAATGTGGGGGCTTTCAATATCAAAGTCTTTTTTAGACTAAATTACAAAATGTGAGCGCAAACGAACGTTTGCTGTTTTCGAAAGCCCGTTCTTTAGATTTCTTAGAGTATGAGATGAAAAAAAAATGGCACGAAGAGGTTACTTTAATAAAAAGCGAAGCGGACTGCAATTAGAAAATAACGTAATAGTAGCGATACTCTTTTCGCAAATTTTAGCCTGTCTTTTTCGCTTAAGCGCTTCTTCTAACCACAAATTTCATAATACGCCAAACTCTTGCACTTCGTCTGTGCAAGATGATGATATAGTCTATGCCTGCGGAAACGTAGGATTAACATGCATCACATCCTGGAGCTGAAGAAGGTTCCAAGGGTTCGGTTGTTCGCCGATGAAAGTGGTAAACTCATTGCCGTGATTAAAAGAACAAAAATTTTAGTCTTATTATTTAACTATATGCGGGAATACCAAGCAGGTAAATCCGCAGGGCGCGAAGCGACGCGCCCCCAGAGACTTTAAGTTAGATTCCCAAAAAAAATATATAAATTTATATGATTGAAGAACTTCAAAAAAACGATTATCCATTTAAATTCTTTAAAAAGACTTCTATCAAACGTAGAACCTTTCTTTAGACAGAATACTCTTCAATCTCGAAAATGTATAGATTTTCTCTTATTCCAAGAGATTTTACGTATGATGTGGAACGAGAAGAGCATCGAAGTTTAGAAGGTTTGCAAAAAATTAGGGAAATTCGTGATCAACAACGGAGATTTAGAATAGAAGTATCTGATTCAATTTGGGAAAAGAGAAAGTCCCTTGCTCTTAGAAATAAGAGAATCAAAAAGACGTGAGTTGGGTTTAGAACGTAGAACTTTTCAAGACACTGCGTTAATAGATGCGTAAGCAATTATTTAGTTTCGGCTTATATCGGTGAAGCCTTGACTGTTTGAATACACATGGTAATACCGAGGGAAGAATATGCAAAATTTACTTTCTGCAAATGTGTAGATTAGTTGATCAAATTGGAGAATTAAATGATTCAAAAAAACATATTCTCTGATACAGTTGCATCTGAGTTTAGAACACTATTCCCCGTAGAGACTTCCGATCTAGCAAAACCGAAGCCCAGCTTGTAAGAGTATCCAAGATGCAATACAAGGTTAGGAAGGGCAGCAGTTTTGCAAAGATCGGGGATACTGTTTCTGATTAGAAACCGTATAACACGCCGACTCTTTGTAGACAGGAGATGTATGCAAAGATGAAGATATAGTCCGTTACTTATGGAAACATAAGAGTAAAACGCGTGAGACAGTTCGGTTCCTATCTACCGTTGGTAGGTTTATGAGAATTGAGAGATTTAGGCCCTAGTACGAGAGGACCGGGTTGAATCAACCTCTGGTGTATCAGTTGTGACGCCAGTCGCAGCGCTGAGTAGCTACGTTGGTCAGAGAGAACTGCTGAAAGCATCTAAGCGGGAAACTCTACTCAAGACAAATTCTCTTTATGGGTGAAAGACCATCACTTTGATAGGCGGGGAGTAGTTGCTTTGTGAGAGGTTAAGCTTACCCGTACTAAAATTTCTTTATTTGATTTCTTTGTCTTATGGCTTCGCGCCATTCTTCAATCTGAGTTTTTAGCGCAAGAAAGTCAAAAGCGCTTCGCATCTGAACTTAGACCTGATGAGCACATTTTTTTATGCACCGCATGCATGAACATATGCATGCATGCTCCAATGCTTCATATTCTTTCGTTTGCTTGCATTAAGTACGGAGCTAAATGTTTTTTTCCACGGGCAGTTTTTATGCCCGTTTCCTTTGCAAAATCTTTTAAAACTTGTAGATTTTAAAAATCTTACTTTATTGTAGAACAAGCATGCGAAGAAAAAGCAAGCGATGGCGCGCGTTATGTACGTTGCTTACGCTTGCACGGGTTGCGCAACCCCGCTTTGCTTGCTCATTCTGACGAACCTGACGGAAACCATCTTCGAAAACAAGCTTGCAAAGCAAGCTTTGCAACTCTTAACTTCAGTTGCTTGCTTTAGTTTGCGGATTTTATATCCCAAGCAAAAGTTGCTTGGGACGGACTACATAAAAGAAAATTTAAAAAAAAGAAAAATATGATTGTCTTTTTTTTGGTAATTTCGCCCATACTTTATTACATTACTAGGTTTTTCAATTTTAGTTTGACTTTTTTTCTTTTTTATGTATTTCTCACTTATCTAGTCACTCGATTGGTAAGGGAGCTAGATCGCAAGGGATATTTGACTTCTACCAGCCTGTATTTAGTGAATAATAGAATTACGCAGTATCTTGTGTTTTCTGCTTTAAGGTTTGAAGAAATTTTGCTTTCGTACCCCTTTTTTGGTTTTCTTTTTTTTTATATTTTCTTTTATGTAGTCATCTCAAAAATGTACGTCTCACCCGATCCTCAACAAGGCATCTACTGGGCGGTGCTGACTCTACATTTCTATATGATTTTGTATTTTAGATTGAGGTGGAGAATTTTAAACGATTACCAGTTGGACCTCTATAAGGGACGACCTGGCTTTACTTGGACTGACGTCATACTAGAATTGACAAGATTCAGTGGTCTACCTATAGAAAATAAAGTTCAAAGTAAGTGCAATCAGACCTTCTATAACATTATTCCTAAGCGAGGAATGCGCAAAGTAGCAGAGAAAGCAATGGAGAGCCCTGAAGTCCAAAAAGTGGTTATCACTTCAGGAGTTGCTGCTGTGGCCGCCGGTGTTGCAGCTACAAGCGATCTCTTGTCAACTCCCGAAAAACGCGCTATAAAGGAAAAAGAAAAAATCCTCAAAAGCGCCGAAGAGGAGCAACAGAAGGCTTCTGATCAACTTGAGAAATTCCCTATAACTTCAGAGATTATCACGGATAAAGCGAAAGAAGAGAGGGGGCGATTAGAGCACGAAGTCGTAGCAGCAAACGAGACAGTGCGTCTGCATAAAAGTGAGTTGACTGACCTTCGCAAAAAAGCTTCCGAAGGAAATTCACTTCCCGGGCCTGATCCTGATATTGGCATTGATATTACAGATTTGTTCCCTTGAAGTTCCACAAGCGCAAATCTTTCGCGTCTTTCGAACCTAAAGGTTCCGTAAGGAACTTGTTGTCGTGTTGCGCACCGGGAGGTTTACCAACGCAAGCTTTGCTTGCTTTTTTTCATGGTTGCGCAACCCCGCTTTGCTTGCTCTAACGAGCCTAGCAAACGAAAGATCGCTAGCAACTCGCAAGCTCGCCCAACCGGGGCAAGCTTGCGCTTCGCTCCTTTCTTAGGGAAGATCGCAAAGCTTGCTTTTTAATGAAGCTGACGGGACATTATGGCATGGGCGCGCAAATTTCTAGCGAACCTGACGCTCGTTAGAGTCACAAGCAAGCTCGCCCAACCGGGGCATTGCCGCGCTTGCGCTCGCCCCGCGCCCATAATTGCTTTGCAACCCCGACGCTTCGCTCCTCGCTTCGCGCCTCGACTCTAACGTAACGAGCCCAGCTCTCTGGCATTTTTACATGCGCGCCTTCTAACGAGCCCACCTCTGAGCCGTATAGGTAGGTGTCGTTAGAGCAACCACGGCCCTAAGCAAGGCAAGCTTTGCTTGCCCTTTACTTTAGGTGGGCGAGCTCAATATTGCAAGCGATGTCTCCGCAGGTTTCCGCAGGGACTTTGCACCTCTAACGAGTCTCGAAGAAAACGAGCGCAAGCGCGCACATATTGTAATGCCTCGCAGTGCCGGAGTTGAAGTTTTGCGGGTTTGCTTCGCTTGCGCTCGCACCGAAGGCGCCATCGCGAGCTTTTTTGCTCGCTCGCACACTTCGCGTCCTTCGTAAGAACAAGCAAGCAAAGCTTGCTTTGGAAGAAGCTTGCTTTGCAAGCGATGGGGTTTACTATTTTACACAAATGTTTACATGCAAGACAAATAGAAAAAGATAATATTCCTTAATTATACACACTGACAGAGGCACAAAACGTTCACGAATAAACAGTTTTATCAAATTTGTCAGCAATAGTAAAGAAAGCGTTAACTCTAACGAGCTTTAAACAATCAAGTTAAAATGAATATTCAAATCAAGCAACTCATTGGTTGCCGAAGCCGACCCATCTTGTGAAGCAAAAACATAGAAACTCTAGCGCGCCTGCCTTTGGCCCAAGTTCTGTTCGCTTAACGCCTTTCACTCTAACGAGCCTTGCTAATATTATCAATTTTCCTGTGGAAGTACACAATACATCTCTAACTAGTTTCAAAAAGATAGTAGGGTTCGCTAGAGTTTGATTGAATTCGATAACGCTTTATTCGAATCTACAATCGAAAGGTATAGAGTAAATAAAGGAAGGCTCGCTAGAGTTAGAATCATTATTCTTCAAGATTTTATAGATCTCTGCGAGGCTTAAAGTATGCCAACAAATGGATTACTTTTTCAACGAATGGAAAACAAGCATGACATTGAATTCGATATTCGCGACAATAAAAGAGAAAGAGCTATTTTCTATCAACAGGTAATGCCTTATTTTTTTTTTCAATTTAAAGTATTGCGTTTTTAACTTTTTGGGCGTATTTTATATTAAGCGGCAGGTTATGTGTAAAACGTGCCGTTTATTGTGCAAGAATAACTTGAGTTTAAATGAGTTCCTTCATTAGAATGTTCATCATTTATCAAAGCACTGTCAATTATTTTGGCGGCATCCTTTGGGTTTAATTTAAATCTATTGTAGCGTACTGTGGTCGTTATGCTTTGGTGGCCTACTAAATCTTTAACTTGTTGTATTGGTACTTTTCGTAGTAATTGTGTAATATAATTAATGCGAAAAGAATGAGAGCTTAAGTTGAGGTTGAAGTGTTGAACTGCAGGTTGTATGAAGTGGTTTAAAGTCATGATCCATTTATTTTCT